CGCTAAAAAACGAAATGTCTTGCGCAAACAATAAAAGAGAGAATGGCGCCTTGGACTCAGACAGGTATACATTGTATCAAAAATGTTTAGGCTACAGTTATAATGTTTTGATTAGTAGTGATAAAATCAGTGGCAATTTCATTAGGTACTTGCTCTGATGTATCAACATTTACCACAATCTGATTGTCCAATGTTTAGTGAAAACGATTGTAAACAAATGCTAAGAACTTAACCAGAAAATTTATTTTGTTTTTTTTTCATTAATTTAAACACCAGTGTTCTTCCATGAACTGACAGACCTATGATGCATTATATTTACAGTTGCTCATGTTTTATCCTGAAACACTTTGGGCATTCGTTCGACGTTGGGGAATAAAGGATGCTGCACTGCCAAATATTGTGTGATAACGGAGCAAGGAGGATATACCCATCACTTGCAGTTAAATGAATAACATTTTCATTCAAAATAACAGTATCAGTTACACTGATGTCTCATTAATATAGTTGGGAAAAACATGTGCAAAAAATTGATTTGCATCGTTAGAGAAATTAGGCCCAGATTCAACGCTAGTCTGAAGCAAACTATTTGTGAGATCAATATGTCACAATAAGACATCTTTTTCAACACTTCAAAATATCTGGCTTGACTAGTCTTACAAAATTCAAGTGATTTACACTTACCTTGGCATGCCCGTGCTTGCCTGTTTTTGATGTTGACATTTCTACAATTTTACAGGGACGACCTTTCAATAAAACGTGACCATTTTTGCGAAGAGAAGAACACTGAGCAGGATAGGTCTCAGACGCACCTGATTCTCCACTGTGGAAATCGTGGTCATCAGCCATATTTTTAAAAAAATAATCAGCTGTAACAAAACAAATAAACAATATAAAAATATGGTTCATTATAACTTGAAGAATACGTATCATACATCTGTCACCATAACGTGCCGTAATTTTACGTCATTTCACAGGGCATTTTCATCCTACCATATTAGGAAATGCGAATTCCAATTATTACACAGGTAAGCGTCATCTATTAATAAAAACAAACCTGGCTGCCACCAGGGTTTGACCAGACTCCACACAAAGAAGTTAGCTGATTCTGTTCTAAATTTTTTGGATTTCGGCATTCCCATGACAACAGGAGATACTACCTGTAATTTGATGACAAAGTTGGCTTCCACTTTATTGTATGCAGAAATGACAAAATTCTTTTTTACACAAATCCTGAAATAGTGAAGCACAGAAGCTAGCCTGCACTAAAGGTGCCCATTTTTATTGTAGTAATCACTCAAAGACATTTGCATGTTCTTTTAAGTTTCATTTCAGGATTCTGTTGGATAAGATTTCTCATGCACTGTAAAAAATCCACAACACTTGTGGCCTGGCACTACAATTCTTTTTTTTTTAAATTGTAATCTATTTGGCCAACACATTGACTGGTCTATTTTAAGCACATTTACTAGTTTTAATTCACAAAATGAAGTTATGTTATAAAACCTGGGAGTACAACACTTCCAAAAACGATAAAGTAGGTGTATTCTTGTGCAAAGAATTCTACATGCCTTGGTCTTGTGTGCGTTATAGTTGCACAGAACAGGTCAGATCAAAAGCAGCTTTTCTTATTGGTTGGCAGCTTACAATTCACATTCATCAGGCTAAAATTAATTGCCCAATTCTGTGAACATTCACTTCAAAAACAGGATTCTTGAATAGATTCAGTTTTATCAGTGTTCTCTCCAGAAATTTTCCATAGAGTCGCGGCTAATTTGCATAATAATTAGCATAAATTAACATTGTCATAAAAAGAAGATGGGGAAATAAAACAAGACCAGTTTTTTCCTTTTATTTATTGTATGTACAATCTGTAGACAATTATCGTACACAATAAAAGTGCACTGCGTGTTTAGTATAGCAAATGTCCTGCAGAAATACTGAGTTTTCTGTTTCTTTGCTTGGCCCAGCAATCCACAACTACATAAAACCCTGTTTGGTCCAGGTAAATTTAAACATTGGGTTGATGATTCTCCGTGCTTATCTTCCGCTTTTGTTGTTTTCCAGTTAAGTACAACAACTGTTACGAGTCACGATACTTGTGCTACTACTTGTATGTTCGAGCAATAATAATAGTTTTGGATGAAATTATCCATCTTTATGTATTTTTTTAAATCATCGATGTTGTTAGTTCAACACAATTGTGAACAAGTCGAGACAACGGAGGTCTGAATTACGAATCGTCGCTATTGTTATACCACATAAAAATTGAGGCTTTTCCTCCAAGAAAAAAGTGTCACTCCAATTTCCACACGTTTTTTGATTAGAATTCCTGATTTCTTGATAATTATTTTCCATTATGCTTCACTTAATTCATCCAGATCTAACCATGATATGCAATCCGAGTGCTCGCTGGATCTTCCGTGGGTGACGCCATCTTGGATTCACGATCATGAGGTCAAAATTGTTTACTTCATAAATACACGTTTTCACAATTTGATCTCAAAAAACAAATACTGATAAAAATCTAAATCTAGAATAGTACACCTACATTTCTAAAAATAATAATGAAAATACGTTTCGTACACGATTGAAACATGTGGCTTTTGACCCCAAATTGTGACCATATCATTTGCATGTGAATATACGTTTGGCAAGGAGCGTTCGACACCGGGGCTTGCAGCTTTGTCTTTATGGAACTGCTTTGTTTTTTTAAGGTAGAGATGCAGGTTGGGAGACTATATTTCTAATTGCCTTTAATTACTGTAATTACATGAGTAAAATATCCTTTTTACCAATCAAGTTATATATCATTTGAAAGAATTTTATTTAAACTGTTGAGTTTTATGGTTTACAATAATGTACTATGATACCATATTCAGTGGTGTTGATTTTAGGTTAAAATCATGCATTTTAGGTGAAAGTGCACTTAAAACTATTTAACTTTTGAATGCATACCCTGATTTTAATTTAAGAACACTTATTTAAAAGTTATGTTTACTAGGAACATAATGGCTTATTTATTAGTGCTTCCATTGAAAAGTTTTTACACAGTGCTCTTTGAAACATTCACATTTTATAAATCGTCCACAGTTAACAGAGCCGCTAATTGGCAGCTCTATTGTTTCTGTTCCAGTAAAGACAGTGAAACCATACGAAGCCATTTACTTAGGATAGACCTGAATAATGACCCCTGAAAATTTCATCAAAACAAATGAACCTTCTAGAAGTTAAATAGTTTTAAAGTTGAAATTTGGAGT